TTGCGGCGCACACACACACACACACACACACACCTGGCGTGGTTTTTAAGCCACTGGGTCCGAGACTTGAACTGTGCAGTTGGCCGCGTGGGATCCAGCCACGTTAACCGCCACGCCACGGCTCGGTCCTGTCTTCCTTCTGAGGGCACCGGTTCTACTGGACCAAGGGTCCACCCTCTAGAATGACCACATCGTTATGAATTACATCTTCCATGACTGCATTTCCAAACCATTTCACATTCCGAAGTACAAGGGCTCATGATTTCAAAGTATCTTTAAGGGGACCATGACTCAGCCCATAAATCATGGGGTCTCCTGTTAGACAGACAGCCTGCCCTGGGCAGCCCTGGGCTCTCCCCCACTGCCCCCTGCAATTTCCAAAGAAAAGCCCAAGTTCTCCAAGACTTGCCAGACACTCAGAGGACAAAAGTCAGCTCTCGCTTCCACTTGCCTCAGGCTTTCTGGTTTTTCAATGTTGGGCTCCTGTGTGTGGGTTTCTTCCTCTGAGGCCAACTCAGTAGTGTATTCATTTCATTAAAAAAAATTGGGCCAGGGGCCAGTTGGTGGTGTGATGATTAAGGGTGCTGGACTCCCACATGGCTGACCTCAGTTCAAGACCCAGACTTGGTGGCTTGCTTTCTCACTTTCCCTCGCCACTCTGTCCCTCTCTGATCAAATTAAAATAAATAAATAAGTGAATAAATAAAGTCAAATAAGAATTCTTAAACAACAACAAAAAAAGATGGGAACCAGCAGTTAGCGTAATGGCTATGTCGCTGGATTTCCATGAAGTCGACCACAGTTCGCGTCCCGGACCCGGTGGCTTAAACCTCATGCCGGGCGCGTGTGCATGCGTGCCCAAGATCCCAAGAGGAGAATGGAGGAGAAGGGATTGCAGCGTGACCATCCCCCCTGGGGGGTGATTTCTCACTTTCTGTCTGTCTCTGTCTGTCTGGCGAGCGCACGCGCCCTATAGCGAAAACCTCTCCAAAAAAAAAGTCAGGTCAGCAGGTGACGTGGCAGTTAGAGCAGCTGGATTTTACCTCGTCGACTGTACAGTTTGAGTCTCGGACCCAGAGGCTTGAAAAACTCATGGGGCCCCAGATGGTGTAGTGGTTAAGGCACTAGACTCCCATGTAGAAGACTACAGTTTGAGTCCCAGATCCAGTGGCTTGAAACTCACGCCAGGCACTTGTGTGAGCATGCCCAGAATCCTGAGATAAGAATGGAAGAGAGGAGATTGCAGAGGAGGACCATTCCCCCAGGGGGTGATTTCCCGCTTTTTGTCTCTCTGTCTCTCTCTGTGTCTCCTGCAAGCACATGTGCCCTATATAGAAAAAAAAAAAAAAAACTCTCAAAAAAAGAAAAAAGAAAGAAAAAGAAAGAAAATCACGCTGGGCAAGTATGCCTATGTGCCCAAGATCCCTGGAGGAGGGAGGAGGAAGTAGGAAAAGGCTTTTTCCCCTGGGGGTAATTTCTCTCTTGCCCTCCTTCTCTCTGGTGAGCACTCACGCCTTATAATAAAATTTAAATGAATAAGTAGATCTTCATGAAACCCAGCGGGACTCAGTCATGGGCTCCATGCCGGTGCCTGGTCATTTCCTGAAAGCCCCCGCTTTCACCACTATGACCGAGTGGTCTCTACCTACTCAACACCGTTACGAAGGCTCACCAGATTTCAACACAGGAAATATTGGGGTACAGGTCCAAACCATCGCATCCTCTGAGGGGATGCAGAGGGGACCTCCCCTAGGTCCTCAGACACCCCCAGCCCCGTGTGTCTCTGTGCCTCAGGGGACATCTACCATTATGTGCCCTGGTACAACACCAAGCCTGTCGTGGCCGTGACCTCCAACTGGGAGGACGTCAGCTTCCGCATGAACTGCCTCAACCTCCTCCACTTCACTCGGGACCGCCTGGTGAGGGGCACCGGAAGGGAACCCAGAGCTAGGGGGTTCTGGGGAAGCTGCAACCGCCCACAGCTCCCTCGTGCGTGCCGCACCCCTGAGATGAGTGGTTGAGGTGAGGGCTAGGCACTAAAGCACAGAGTCGAATCCAGAGCCCTACTCACCCCGGAGTCTGGATGTGTGGACAGGTACCTGCAATTCAAGGAAAATGCAGTACTGGGGGCTATAGGGCCAGAGAGAGTGGGAGTGCAGGAGGGGAGGAAGGCTGGCCAGTGGGGGTGCAGGAGGTGATTCTCAGCAGGGGTTTGGTGGGGTGGGATGAAAGGAATTACGTGTGCACGGCTATGGCAATGGGCCAGTTTGGGAAGTTGAGGTGTGGGGGGGTGGTCCTGGGAACCTGTCGGTGCGTGTGGGTATCAGGGGGAGGAAGGTGCACTTCGTGTCCCTCAGACATGACTCACACCTACAGAGTGGAGCCCAGGGATAGGACTCTGCCCTGCTTTGCAGTCCCACCCCATAAAGGCTCCTCCCTGCCCCCCCACTTCTTCTGTTGGGTGGTGGGGAGGGCATGTAGGGGTCCTAGCCATGCAAGTGCATGTGACAGCCCAGAACTAACAGTACCAGGTTACTTTCAAAGGTCCCCAGGCCCCAGCTGCAAACGTCTCTAGCCAGTCAGGTCTGCAACTCGGCGCAGGTGAGCTCCACGCTGAGGCCGGCTCTCTTGCCTTCCTCCCGCCGGTTAGAAAGCCAACCTGGACACCCTGAAGTCCATGCGGAATCCGAGGGACCCGGCTCTGCTCCACCAGTGGCAGAAGCTGCTCAGGGAGTTGGTGGAGGACTGCAAGTAGGAGGAGGCTGCCAAGGGTGGGGCTCAGAGGAGGGAGCACCCTACAGAACCCCCACCCCTGACTCAGAAAGTGTGAGCTCCGCCCAAACCTCTCCCCTGCTTGAAGCCCAAATAGCTGCACGCCCTCCCCTCTTCCCTCCTGCTCAGGCCCATCCAGCATGGTCCCTGCTGGCCACACCCACCCTACGCTCCTGCAAACCGCCTCTCCCTTCATCCAGACAGGCACGCACCTTCCCATGTGCATGCCTTCCCCAGCGCCTTGTTGCTCCTCTGCCTTCCACGGGGCTCTGCCTGTTCCGAAGACTCATCGTAAAACTTCTCCAGCTGCTTCCCCATCTCCCTGCTGCCCGGCCCCGCCACCCTAAGCCCCGTCCCCCATTCCGCTCCACACACAGGGAGGTTCTTGGGAACAGGCCCGGTGCAGTACAGGGCCTAGGAGGATGGCAGAGGGCTGGATGTGAAGCTAGAGCCAGACGCTCAGCAGGAGGGCTCCCTGGGGAAGGGTGGGCAGGGCCCCAGGGCCAGGGCTGCAGGATCCCGAGGCTGGCCAGGGCACACGGGCTAGACCAGAGGCCATGGTGCTGGGAGGCAGGAGAGAAGCCCAGTCCTGCTCCCCGGTCCTGGCCACAGGCGCCCTCTGCCCTGCATGACCGATCAGCCCAAAGCCACTGACCTAGACAGGAAGAGGTGGCATCTCCGCAGTCTGCTGCTGGTGGAACTGGCCCAAAAGGCCAAGGAAGCCAAGCCCAGGGACATGGTGGCCACCGTGGAGGGCTGGCTGCACCGCCTCAATGCCGTGCTCCCCGAGGTGAGCGCTGGACACCAGCCGAGGGGCTCAGAGCCGGCCATGCAGAGCCTGACGCTCTGGCCTCGGCAGCCACAGATGAGCCTCCCGGACGTGATGATCTGGCTGATGGCCAAGGAGGAGCGAGTGGCCTACGCCCGGGTGCCCGCGCACACCATCCTGTTCTCCCCGGCTGGGCCCCTGCACTCCGGCAGGTTCTGTGGGAAGATCCAGTCGCTCCTCCTGCAGGTGGGAAAGCAGGGAGGCAGGGCTGGAAATGTCCCGGGGACCCCTGAGCGCACAGGACAGCCCGGGGAGCCTCCCCGTACCATGGCCTGCTTCCTCTCTCCCTGGCCCTTTACCAGGAGGAAGCAAGGGCCTGTGGCCCAGCCTGGGCTGGCGCTGAGTCCGTTCCCTCATAGATGTCCTCAGATCCATCTCCTGTCACCCTCATGCCACCACTTGGTGCAGTCCCTTGTCAACTCTCCCCTGAGCCGTGATGGGTGATCCCCAAAACACGCACTGTCAGGTTCGGGCACCAGCCCATCAGCTCAGCGCAAGCTGTACATAAGGCTGACCCATGTCCTGACGTGCACCACCCCGGCCTCGACGAGGGCCTTTCTGCTCAGGCCTGCTCCTGGGAGGTGGCCAGGGAGCCATTCCCTCCCTCCCTCAGGGACTCTCCCTGGCTCCCCGTTGCCCCCTCAAAAAGGAGCTCTTCCTAGGCTTGGCCCCAGCCAGCCCCACTGTGTTTGCCCTCGCTGGCCCATGCTCAACAGGCTACTCCGAGCTCCCCACAGCCCCAAACATCCCCCCTTTGCCCTGTCCACCATCCTGCAAGGCCCCTCTCCTGCCCATCCAAGTCCTTCTCATCCCGCGAGAACCCCAGGACGTGACTCCTGGCTCGCTCTCAGCTGTGTGACCCAGGCCCACTCCTGACCGTGGCTAGGTCCCCGCCTGCTCCTCTGTAGAATGGGCCTGGTAACAAGGATGTCCGCCCCACGTGGGCTGCGAAGACCATGGCACACACTGCGGGCACATGGCACGTAATGAGTGACAGCTAGTGTGGGGGGAGTCTTCAAAAAGTTCATGGAAAATGCTCTTTTTTTTTTTTTTTAAACTATGCATGGATTTGAAATTTTTTGCACCAAAATAAACTTTTTTTTTTTTGAGAGGTTTTTGCAATAGGGCGCATGTGCGTGCCAGGAAGACAGAGAGACAGAAAGCGAGAAATTACCCCCCGGGGGGATGCCTCACCGCAATCCCTTCTCCTCCATTCTCCTCTCGAATCTTGGGCACGCACACACACACACTCGGCATGAGTTTAAGCCACCGGGCCTGGGACTCGGACCACAGTCGACTACATGGGAATCCAGTGACATAGCCATTACGCTAACTGCTGGTCCCATAAACTCATATTTTAATTCCATTCTTCCATAAAATTTTGAGGGCCTCTCCTACTGTAGTCAGGCTCCTGTGCGGGGCCCTCCCAGGCTCCCTAGGCAGGGTTGCCCCTCTGTCCCTGCTTCCTCTGCCTCGCTGCTATGTGCAGGGTCACAGGTAACATTTCTCCCCTGAGGGCAGGACCCGGTCATTCACATTTTGGCTCCTGCACCCAGCTCGGTGTGAGGGCCCTACCCCCAGGCACAGGGCAAGGGCAGGTGTGGGCGTGACCCGTTCCGGGTGTGTGTGCCCCTCCCTGACCTCATCCTGTCCCCGGGGATTGACGTGCCTCTGCTCAGTACCCAGAGGGCGAAGGACAGCCGGACACGCTCCCGGCCCACCTGAGGGTCTGCATGTGGCTCGGCAACGTCACGGACAGCAAGGAGCTGCAGCTGCTGCGCAAGGGCACCATGGTGGTGTACGCCGAGACGGTGAGCCGTGGCCGGCGGCGGGCGGGAGGGCCACGGCCGGAGGGGGAAGAGGCCTCACAGCAGGGGGAGAGAGGGAGAAGCCATGTGAAGATGGAGGAGACCCTCCTGACCCACTCGAGACTTCCGGGAGGGTTGAGGGAGGTGGCAGAGATGGAAGCTGCTGCCAGCTCGGGGTCCCCTGTGGACAAGCCATAGGTGTGCATGACAAGGGGGATGACTGGTCACGCTCT